CCCCGCCCCCGCCCCCCGCCCTTCACCCTGCCGTCGGCACTGCCATACCCCCCCCACCCCCAAAAAAACTTGCAGGTTCTACCGCGCGGCGATGCACTACACTGAGGAGTACAGCACCCTGCCCGGCTGGCTGCCCGACGCCTACAACAAGGCCAACCCCCCGAAGGGCCGCTGAAGGCCCCCCCGGCCAAGCCGCCCATCACCAGCTGAGGACCCTCGCCGCCAAGCCCCGCCGTTCAGCACGGCAGGCCGCGCGGCGAGACTGCGATATGGGCGCGTCTGCCCTGCAGCTGCGGCTCTGCCGCTCTGCTGCAGGCAGGCGAGCGTCCGCACAGCCGAGTGCACAACCGAGCGGCGTCCGTGCCGCAGTTCACACAGGACGACACTGGCGACTTGTTCTGCTGGCGCTACAAATCTGCCCTTTCGTGCTCACAACTCGTGGCCTGATGCAGGCTGGTGGGGAGCCCGTGCTGCGGGGGACGGTCGCCGTCTTGGCTGCGCGCGCAGCCCGCGTGCGCCACTTGCTGCCGACTCGAGAAGTCCTTTGTCGTAATAGTATCTTTTTCAGGTTGTTATCTGTGGTGCCCCTCGTCCCCTTTTTTTACTACAACCACCAGAGGGGCACAGCGGCCCTGGTGCTGCGGCGCCCGCCCCCGGCTGGCCACGGCCGCACCCAGGGTGGGCCCCTTGCATTTTTGGGGGGCCGCCACCGGATGCTGATGACGTGTGCGTGACACCGCAGCGTCTCCTCATGGGGCCCCGCTTGCCAAAGGACACTCACTTGACACTTTCACCTGCAGACGTCCATCTGCTCACTACATGCACCCGCTTTTTCGTGCCCGCGGCGCCGTGCCGAAGAGGGGCCGCCGCGTTTCTACTTTCCTGTTGCTGCGCCGCACGCAGCGTGACGTGCGTGGCGGCCTCGTGCAGCGCTGCAGTCGCGGCGCTGCGGGCTTGCCAGCGTGCAGCGTGGGGTTTACGGGAACCCAGTGGGGGTGCGAGGCTCTCCGTGGGGCAAAAAAGTTGAAGGCAGCGACTTGACTTATTGGGTGCGGCTGGGCCAACCCTCCGCCAGAGCGCTGGCTTGGCAAAGCCCACCCTGGCCACCCGCATCCAGGGGGACGGGCATTGTGCAAGTCCCCGAGGCTGTGACATGCTTGACGCGTCGCGCGCGTGGGCTGAGGTGGCATCTCAGCGACACCCGGACAGATGCACAAGTACACACACTTGCCTGCTACCCTGCCCCGCAAGAACGGAGCTGCAGACAAGGCCGGAAGCACAGTTCATTGACCTGTTGCGCCTGGCAGCGCAAAGCGTTTTCATCGTCTTTGGCATCTTGACGCATGCCCTTGCAGTAGCCAGCAGGCGGTTGCAATTCATGTTGTGTATGCCAAAGGTTCAATTATGCTACCGGTATTTTATGTGTCATTTTGTTTGTCCAGAGTAAAGGAGCGCCGAATCGCCATCAGTGAATGACTGGGGCAACATATCATCATCTAGAGATGCAGGGGACGAGGGACTGATTCCAACGGGCGACTGCGGGCGCAGCTTCCTGCATGAATGTTGCCTGCGTAGTCCCCGCGTGGCTGTGAGCCGCCTGGCTGCCCTGTTGAGCAGGACTTCATGTCTTAACCTCGGATGCGTCTGTTGAGCAGGCATGAGCTGCCGCCTTCCCCACGTTCGACTCGACACATCAGCAGCAGGAACAGCCGCAGCGGCGGCAGCAGCAGCAGCAGCAGCAGCAGCAGCCGCCGAAGCCGCAGCAGCAGCGGCAGCGGCCGCAGCAGAAGCAGCCACAGCAGAAGCAGCCGCAGCAGAAGCAGCCGCAGCAGAAGCAGCCGCAGCAGCAACACCAGCAGCGGCGCCAGCGCAGCCTGAGCTGCCAGCATCAGCAGCACATCTGCCAGCGGCACGCTTTGCGCGTTACAAGGTAGTAGACAGGACTTCCCGCTGCAAGATGAAGGCTGGTCATAAAGCTTTCAGCCGGTCAAAGCGCCCATCAGTCCTGATCATAACGGACATGAGTCGCGCTTCAGCGCTTGCCGCGCAGGCTGCGGTGCAGCAAAGGATGGGCTGCGGCTAGCTAGGGTTGGGGCGCCCGCGGAACTGATGCTAGCGCTCATGCTGCCATGGCTCGGCGCAGGATATAGGGCGAGGTGCAGGGGCAGGCATTATGTGGTCTAAGGTGGGGCGATTGGGGGTTGGCTAGACATGGGGGGGAGGGACGGACGACGTGGGCTGCAAGCAACAAAAGACAGAGCAAGGGGATAAGGTGCGGCAGTCGCGCCCAAGGCAAAGGGTTCGCGCAGCTGCCGGCAACATCTCGTCGCCGGCCGCACTGCTGGCTCCTGCTTAAACGAGCGGCTTGGGTCGGCGGCGACAGGGCTTGCGTCGGCGTCCAGGAAGACCCGGGTCCATGGGGGGCCGCCGGGCGCGTGGGCGGCCGCGGCGCCGACAGACGCAGGGGTGTGTGACGCCAAAGGGGGCTGGGGACGCACGCCGGCGCCCAAACAGTGCGAGCGGCGCGGCCCCAGCCGCCCAACGCGTAGTCAGGGTCGCGTGGCCTGCATGCAGCATAACCCAGCAGCAGCGTGCCTCAAGTGACAGAGGGCCGCTCGCCCCAATGCCGCAAGCGGCGATGCCGGGCGGGTGCCCGCGTCAACGCGTGTTTCCCGTCACGAGTCACCTTCTGCTGCCCCGGCCCCGCCGCCATCCGCCGTGCCAGCCGCCGCAGCCGCCGCCCGCGCCGCCGCCGCCTCTCCCGCTGCCGCGCGCGCTGCAGCGGACGCAGCAGCCGCCGCATCGCCCTCCCCCTCCTCCGCCGCGCCGCCGCCGCCGCTGCCGCGCGCCGAGCCCGCCCCTGTCCCGCGCCGCGTGACAACGTGGGCTGCCAAAAAGTCCCGCAGGGCCGGCCAGTACAGCTCCTGATTAGTCATGTATGCGTCCATGTGCTGGGAGTCCGGGAACTCCACCCACTCCAGGGTGTTGGCGCGCGCGGCGTCCTTTAGTCGCAGCATCTGGCTGAAGGGCACCATTTCGTCCTGGGGTGTGTATATGTGTGTGTTGTATGCGTGTATACGTGTGTGTGTGTGTGTGTGAATGTGTATGGGGGTGTTCATGTGCGTGTATATGTGTGTATGTGTGAGTGTGTGCGTGTGCGTGTGTATGTGTGTGTGTGTGTGTGTGTGTGTGCGCAATTGTCTGAATGTGCGTATTAATGTGTGCGCCTCTACAGGGTGTGAAGAAGTTGGCAGAGGCCGCACGTGCAGGTGATCGAGTGCGCGCGGCCGCCCCGCTCACGTGCCGCGACGCCATGAGCAGCAAGGGCACGTCCGTGACCCGCGGCAGCGCGTCAATGTTCTTCCACTTGTTGGTAACCAGCCAGTTCAGGGGGCGGCCGCTGCCTATCACCAGGCCCAGCGGCGGGAGCACCTGGGCAGGCAGACAAAAGCGGGCGAGGACGTGGGTTGGCTTCAACGGCTCGTAAAGACGCGCGGCCGCGCGGGCGCGAGCAGCGCTGAGGCGCCGCACTGTCTGGCTGGCGCGGCGCCCCAGAACTCCCGGGTTCCATGAAGGGCCGCACCCCCAGGGACCTTACCCCCGACCCTGGCCCCTCCCAAACAGGCAGTGTCCCTCCGTACACCCCGTAAACCCCCCAGACACACCACGCCGCCACCGATACACCCATGCGTTGTGGCCCCCACCTGCGCCGCCATATCCTCCACCGACATGAAGGCATTCTCCACAATGAGGCCGGCCACCTGGGGTCGTGAGGGCCGTTTATATGACTTTTGAGCGACGTGACAATAAGATGCCAGGGCCGCGGCACACGAGATGGCCCCATGCTGTTGCATGGGGCGGCATCAACAGGCGGCTGCACGCGGGCGCGCCAGAGGCACTGAATGGCTGGGCGGCCACGCGAGGCGGCGCGGCGACCAGACTTCTGGGAAACGCGGGGGCTAGCAATCATCCAGGGGGAAGGGCACAACACTAGTGGCCCCCTGAAGCCTGGGCTGAATCAGACAGCAGCAGCAGCGCCCGGCCGCACCTTGCCCTGGTTCTCCGCAGCCAGGTGGATGGCGACAGCGCCGCCGAGGGAGCGGCCGAACAGCACGATGCGGCCGGTCGCCACGTCGTCGCGGCCGCAGAGGTGGTCGAGGGCGGCCTTGGGGGTGGGGGGTTGGGGGGTTGGGGGGGACGAGAGGTTCTGAGGATGGTGGGCGCGGGCGACGCGCCGAGCCTAAAGCGGGCATAGAGTGCCGGCCTGGAGGGGCACGTGGACCCGTAATGTGGCAGACAAGTCACCGGCACCGCGGCCCGCAGGTGCGCACACTAATCACATTGTTCATGGAGGATAACTCATGCTCAAGCAAAACGTCAGCGCATGCGTGTGCACGCATGCGCGCGCGCGCGCACACACACACACACACACACGCACACACAAGCACACAGACACATACAAAAAAGCACTGCACACATTGTGTTTATGCACCTGCCAAGTGCGCGTACAAAGCCGGCACTCCAACCCACGTCGCCATCCCTGCTGTGTTGCCCTCATCGCCGCCACGCAGCCGCACACGCGCCCCTGCACACAGCCACCCCCTTGCCCGGCTGCCCAAGCCCTTCGACCCATGAAAATCATGGACCGCCCCCTGCACCACTGCCACACCTGCGCGTCCAGCATGATGCCTGGCTGCTTGGGCACGCCCTCCGACATGCCGTACCCCCGGTAGCTCAGCGCAAAGATGGGCACCTGGAGCTGCGTCGCCACCAGCCGCAGGAACGGCAGGCGGTGCGACATGTTGCCCGCGTTCTCCTGGGCGGCGGGGTCAGCAATGGCAGCGGCTGAGCAGCGGTGAGACAGTCAATGGACGGGGCAGTCGCTGGATCAGAGGCTCGGCGGAAGACACCACGCCGCCGCAGCGGGCGCCAGCGCCGACGTCGGCCGCCTGCTGCCAGGCGCTCGGCTGCCGCGGCGCGGCGCATCCGCGAGCGTCTCCCACGGCTCCCGGCGGCCGCGGCGCGCCGCCTGCATGCTGCTGCGCTGGCTGTGCGTTGAACCTTGGGACTGGCAGCACTTGGCCGCACGACGGACAATACAGACAACAATCACCGCCAGCACGCCAGGACGGTGTCCTTCATTCAATCCACGCACCTGGAAAAACATGACCATGGGCCGCGTCCGCTTCATCTCGCGCGACCAGCCGCGCAGGACCAGCAGCCATGCGTGTAGCCGCGTGCCGTCTGGCGCCGACAGCCAAACGTCCTTTGGGGATGCGAGGGGCGGCGCATGCCCAACACCTTGCCTCGCGGGCGGTGAGCTCGACCCTGGGAAGCCCCTGGCCGCGCGCCGCATCCCCCACGCGCTTCATTATACCTGCGCTGCTCAGGCCGTCTTCGACAGCCGGAACATCTTTGATGTACCGCCATTTTTGATGCGCAACCACCAAAGGTGGCTAGCCCGTTTTCTACGCCCGCGACAGCCAGCCCTGACACGTCGCAGCCCAATTGACATCATTTCAAGGGCAGGGGCCGCGCGTTTCTGGTGGCCCCATGGGGCGGCCCAGCTCGCAGGGCGCACCTCTGCATCAAACCCATACCGCTCCGGCACGAGCCGCTCGTCGTAATCAGGCACGCCCGGCAGCCGTGGGACGTACAGCTGCACAACAAGGCGTTGGCAGCGGTAGTGATGCGGCCGGAGAGAGCCGCCCGCGCTCAGTCATGCCGGCGTACACCGCGCAGGAGCGCCACTGTCGCGCGTGAGGCGCCGCAGTGGCAAACGCGGCGTGTCGCGGTGCATGCAATCACCGACTCACCAACTTTTCTTGGAAGAAGTATATCAACGCGATCGCCACGCTGGCGACACCCCCAGCCTGCAGCGCGGGCCAAACCACAGTTGAGATCAGCCTGTGGGCTCCTACTGCCCCTGAAAAGTTCCGAACATGGACTTACCCCGTAGAGAAGCTTGGAAATAATCCCCAGGAGCCCCATCCGAGCCTTGCTCGCCCCCGGCAGCAGTTGTTCTTCTTCGACGCTTTCCAATGCGCGACAATTGCTGAGAGCCGGGCTAGGTGGTCCCGGGTTCACTCTGAGCCCTTGTGCGTCAGTGCGCACTGTTCGGAGTCAGGGGTGCCAGGGTCGGCAGCTTCCGCGTGGACTGACTGGTGCTGCCCCGCCCTATCCATGTCCACCATATCCGTCAATGGAATGCCGGTTGGTCCCATGCAGCCCGCTGAGCCCATTTAGCGCCTGCTTGACCTTCTGCGCCGGGCTCACATGCGAGTTTGCAACGACCTTGGCGCGACTGGCCACAAGGACACCATGGCAAGGGGTGGTGCTCCGGCGATCCTCTTACAGCTACTAAGGCTGAGCGTCAAAATGCGCATGATCAGGGTGAGGTACGCAATAGGATCTTGGCACAGAGCAAAAGTGATTGTCAAGTGGGGAAGAGAGAGGGAGAGAGAGCGGGGGGATGGTCACAAGTATCACGCAGGTCAGCACACATGATCATGGGGCAGGTGCTGGTGGCGACGCCTCAACCCGGCAGCCTGGCGCAGGAGCGACAGCGCCAGGGAGGACGTGGTCGCTCAGAGAAAGCAACCCAGAAAGGCTGAACGGTGGGGCGCCGAGGGGGGTCGGTCGGTCGGGCGTCGACAGCCCTGCGGCTCTGAATTGAGACGTAAGGATGCACGGAGAAGCAGCGCGCATATCGTCACGCACATAGAAAAGCAGGCTGCGCGGCGGTTGCAAGGTGCCTGCAGCAACCCCACACCGCATCACGTATCACAGCGCAAACCTTGGTGTCTCTGTGCCCCCATGGAGGAGACCCCGGCGCGCCACAGCGCCCACTTCTGCAAAGATCTACTCTGCTTGATTAGGATGGTTGCCCTCGCAGCCGCTTTCGCTGCCGCCCCTGTGCTGCTACCTAGCCCACAAACACCAGGCCCCCGCAGCGGGCTCGCCCGGCACCGGCCCGCGCCAGCCGGCGCCACCCGCGCCGTGGCCGCCTCACTGGTACTGCGAGTCGTAGTAGTACTGATCCCCAGTGTCGGGGGTCACCATCATGTGCGGGCCCTGGGTGGGTCGAACAGCGGTTGAAGGGGTTGGTTTGCAATCGGCGCGCTGGCAGTCCAGGAGTCACATGCAGCCTCCGCCACCGCCGCCCGACAGCTGAAGTCATGTGCCCCGGACGACGCCACGTGCTCTGCTAGCCCTTTTGCCTCACAGGCATGCAGCGTCCCCAGCTGTCAGCCGCGCATTCATGCCGCCCGAGCTCACCTTGCCGGCGGCCTGGTCCCCAAACTTGTCGGCCGGCTTGGGGTCATACTTGTTGCCCTCTGACAGCCCGGCCGGCGGCGGGGCCCCGACCTGCGGCGCGCCGTACCCGCCGCCGGGCAGCGCCGATGTGGAGTACTGCGGCATGGAGGGCTCAAACGCGGCATAGCCCGCCTGGAAGCTCTCCTGCGCGGCGGGAGGGCGGGGGCGGGGATACAGGCAAGATTCCGTCAGAAGGGCGGGTCAGCGCCAGCGGCTGAGGCCTGCTCCAGCGGCCCGCACTCTGCAATCCCAGGAATTGTGGGCGGGGCGTGCCCCCACCTGCACGATGAGCAGCGCGGCGGCGGCGTAGTCCCGGAGCACGCTGGTGTCCTTGATGAGCGTGAACAGGCTGTTGTACACGGTCTGCTCCATCTCCTGGTACTGAGACATGGCACCTGGGGTGTTTTGCAGGGCGGGAGGCGGGGGAGGGGATGGGGTTGTGAAGGGTGCTTTTGAGGAGCATGAGGCTGACAGCAGCGCAGACAACGTGGCCGGCACGTGGCGTGGTCGCGCGCCAGCGTGTCCAGCGCCACTTGATCGACTGCAGCAGCGTCTGCCAAGTCTCCCACGCCCTTCAGAGCGCCACTCACGCTGCATCTTGTCCTCCTTGTGCTGCATCCTGCGGAGGTTCACCTCCAGGTCCATCTCCCCCCGCGCGCGCGTCGTGCCCAGGCTGGCCCGCACGCGCTCGCACCGCACTGCGGGATGTGATGAGAATGGGACAGGCGGGTTTGAGTCAGGGAGTGCTCCTGAGAACCAGGACCAAGGTGAGCCGCCTGGGCGGCTGTTGATGTTGAGGTTCATTGCGATTTCTGACGCTGACAAGGAGTCAGGCTAGGCTCACGCACCCTGCAGGTCAGTGACCGTGCGGCGCCGCGAGTCGAGCTCCAGACGCAGCCCTTCCAGCCGCTTCATGCGCTCCTGCAAACGACCAGGCAAAGGGGAGTCTTTTTCACAAGGTGCGAGCTGCAGCCAAAGCTCACAAATTGCGGCAAGAGCTGCTGCTCATGCTGCGGGTGGTGATGCAGCCGTCTTGCTGGCAGACCCGCCAGCTGGCAGCAAGCGCCGCAGCTGGGCCCCTCAGCTGTCATACCCCAACCCGTCCCTGTTCCTACCGAGCGCCGTCTCCGCTGCCCCGCCCGTTGCACGCCCATCCACCCAGCAACGCGTCCGCCCACTCACTGCGATGGTCCTGTAGGCCACCATCCACTGCTTGATGGGCTGCAGCACCTCGATGTCCAGCCGCTTCTTGGTCTCCTGCGCCGCCGACGTCAGCCGCTCCACCTGCACGTCGCCGCCGATCATCGACGGCTCCGGCTCGCTGGGCACCGCCTGGCCGTTGTGCCCCTCCTCGTACACGCGCGGCAGCGGGGACAGCATGATCGTCCGGAAGTTGGTGAAGCCAGCTGCAGCGGGGCGGGTGATGCGGGGCCAGGCGCCAGCGCAGGTGGGTGGGTTGTGCGAGGCGTTCGCATCGCTTTCCGCGTCCTGCCACGCTGGGTTCCGCGCCGCACTTGGGATGGGATCACGATCACAGGCGCTGGACAGATCTCAGGGCGGCGCGGAGGGCCCACAGGGCGATGCTCTCACATTCAATGTCGCGCTCCCAGGCGGTGAGGTCCTTCTCCACCTGGCGCAGGTGCGCCGCAAACATGGACGCCTCCTTGAACATAGCCTCGTTCCGAGAGTTGGATGTAGCTCTGAAGTTCTTCTCCAGCGACAGGCCCCACTTTTGCTTGACCTACGGCCGGTGGGGCGCGGTCAAGCGCGGGGTGTGAGGCGACCCTTCATGCCTCGTAGCCCGCCCGCGGGGCCCCTGGCGCAGCGAGAATGGACAGTCACACGTGTCTCACCGTCTCCGCCATCACCCTCCACCCTGTTTGTGCCATTTTGCCGCCGCTGCCCGGGGCCACAACAATGCTTGGCTTGCAGCTCCGATCGCCCCTGCTCAAGACTGAGACTGTTCAGTCAAGAGATGGTGGTGTATGGAAAATGCAGCGGAGCCTCGCTGCGGCCGTTGCGGGCGTGAGGACCGCTTCAAACGCGAGCAGCTGCTTTCAGGGTCGTTGCACCGTCGAGGCAGAGCTGTATTGATAGTCTTGCTGGGTGGTGATTGGCTGCGCAAGCATATGATGAGGGATGCACCGCGTCAGATCGGTGAACTCGGATGAAGCTGCTGCCCACTTCAACAGGCTGGCCACCTCGTCGTGCGCGGCGCGTGGACAAGCCAGCAGGTGCGTTCGCCCCGTCATGAAGACTGATTCATGGCCGCACGCGACGCATGTCCAGGCGTCAAACCTTGTGCATTTCATCGTGTCAAACGGCAACCGTCGAGCGGGAGTTTGACCAACAGATGAGCCTTGGCATGTGGCATTCAACTGTGCATCTTGTCCTTTCAATTCCACGGTTGATTTGTAGGGGCCAATATTGTCTCACGTATGTGCTTGCAATCATTGCAACACGTCGGATACCCACCCAGCACCACAACGTTACACGCGCGCCTTGCATGGATGTAAAAAGGGATGAACACAACAGTAGAACCCATTGCACGGGGTATGTGAAAGAATGTACACCGAGCACACAGCAGCTGCCAACACCCAGGCATCAGCACATGAGGATCGCCGCCCTCGTCAGCTGTGAGGAGATGGGGTGTACGTGCACGGCCTCACCTGCATCACCAGGTGATGCCGAGGCCGTGCGCAGGAACAGATGGTCCCAGGGTCATCAGGGGCTTGAGGCCACCCGGCTCGCTGCTGGAATGTGCACCATGGTTGTTGCATTGACACCGCGCAAGAACATTCTAGGGACCCGCAAAATGTCTATTCATGCTTGTAAAATGTCTATTTATGCATATAGAAGCGCATGCTCATGGTGGATGAGTGAGATCTGCAGCAAGCAAATGCTGTTGCTAGAGGCCCGCTTCGTTCGGTTAGGGCATGGTGCGAGCTGCTTTGCAAGAACTGTGACAATTCGTTCAGGACCAGGGAGTAATGGCGGCCAGCAAGGGCAAGGTGGTGACAACCACGCGCGCCGCAGCGGTCATGGCGCCCCTCGGCGCGTCTTGGCGCTTGGCACTTACCAAAGGGGGAAAGCTGCTAGACTGCTTGACTGTAACGGCGATTGAAGGCTATGCAAATGCTGGTTTTAATAATTGAGCGGCCTTGTGTTTCAGGAGTATGGGGTACACACGCATGGCGCACAGACCCGGCCGAGCACAGATCACCTGGAGCCCACATGTTCACTGGTCGCAGGCTCGGTGTCCGTGGCTGAGCGGGCCGCAGCTTGCTGCGCCACTTGCCTTCTGCCTGCCATTTCCGCATGGCCCAGCGCCGCCCCGTTGCAACTGCACGCGGCACCGGGCCCATGCCGCCCCGCCGGTGCCGGGCGCCACGCCGCCGAAAGACAGGACGTGCCGCGCCGCGCGGCCACTGCGCCTGATGCAATGCAGCGGCTGCGTCAGTTGCAGGCGGCCGCCGCGGCCGCCTCTGACTCCTCCATGACCTTTCTCATGGCCGCGTACACCCCGCCCGCTTTCGCGAGCTCGGAGGGCGGCCCCTGCTCCAGCACGCGGCCCTGGCTCATCACTAACAGGTTGTCGGCGTGCGCCACGGTGTCCAGGCGGTGCGCGACGACGATCAGACTGCACCCCGCTGGCGCCAGCGCCGCGAGCGCGCCGCTGCCGCCGGACCGCGACCCCAGGCGGGACGACGTGCTGGAGCCGGCCAGGGCGCTGCGCGCTGCATGCCCGGGCGCGTCACCATGCTGCGGGGCGTCGGGGCCGCCGCCGGCGAGGCTCGCGGCGGCGGGGTGCGCGGGGTGCGCAGCGGGCCGGCGGAGGCGGTGAAGGGTGCGCTGAATGGTGGCGTCCGTCGAGGCGTCGAGGTTGGCGGTGCCCTCGTCAATGGCCAGCACGTAGGCGCCGCGCAGCAGGGCCCTGGGAAGGCAGGACGCACGCGCAGAGCGACGAGGGCGGGACGTGAGACGCAGGCGAAATGCACTGCAGACGGGAAACCAGGCAGGGGACTGGCCTGCGCGTAGGCGGGGCCTTGGGAGCGCGCAGGCAGCGGCACCGGCGCAGTGCCCCCTCAAAGCCGTGAGAGACGAGGCGGGAGCCTGAGCGAGCGCGCAGTAGCTCTGGCTGACTCCTCGCCAACCGGGTGACAGGCGACGCGCTGGCAGCGGAGGTTCCGCTCGGCACTACGCTCCTGCTGGCATCCCCCAGCACATGTCTTGTCGACGAGACCCTTTTTCCTCGCCAGATCCCAAAACGCACCTTACGAGCGAGAACAGCTGCTTGTGCCCGAGCGCCAGCCCCGTGCCGCCCGCCGCGATGCCCGCGTCCAGCCCGCCCAGCCGCCGCACCACCGCCGCGAGCCCCAGCTCCCGCAGCAGCGCCCAGACCGCGGCGTCCGAGATGCCGCGCCCCTCGAACGCGCCGGTCGGGTCGAGGTTGGCGCGGACGGTGCCGGTGAAGAGCAGGGGGGCCTGGGGGATGAGCGCCAGGTGGCCGCGCAGGGTGTCGACGGGGACGGAGGAGACGTCGGCGCCGTCCAGCAGGATGCGCCCGGCCTCGATGCGCAGGAGGCGGAAGAGGGCCAGCAGCAGGGTGGACTTGCCGCTGCCGGTGCGGCCGACCTGGGGGGGGGGGGTGTGAGGGTGTGGACAGGAGGGTGTGGGGG